TCAATGCAATAAGTCAATGCAGTAAGTCAATGCAGTAAGTCAGTGCATTTGTTGGTTGCGACTGTAAAATGAAGCATTCGACGTACGGAGTTTAAAGCATGTATCTCGGTCGGAGAGGCTGTCATTTGCACGGCTCACACCGGATGAGCACCCTTCCCTTCCTCCTTTCGGCCGGGTTGGCGTGTCTTCCTTCCGGCTTGCCGAAGAAAGTTGAGGGAGGTTCAGCGGCAACTGGGCTTTTACACAATGGACAGCCAGGGAAGGAAAGTGGTGGTCTGTGACAATGGGACCGGGGTAAGTTCACCGCGTTGGTTTTGACACGCTACCAGCCCGTGTCTTGCTTTACGTGTCGCCGTTATGTCGAAGGATTTTGTGAAACAGGAAGTGGAGCTGTCAGCCTCCGAGCTCGCCAGCTAGCATTAACTGGGTGTGTAGCTAGCTAGCCTGTTAGCGAGCTCGTTTTCATTCATCCGGACCCGACACGGAAACAGCACGTAGGCTGGGCGTAAATGTCGAGATAAATTCTGAATACACCGCTCCGGCTCTAGCTCACACATCGACACAAACCTACAAATGAAAGCAGACGAATAACTGACCGGTTACCAGCCACGGTTACAAAGCTAAGGCAGCTAACTAGCCTGCTAGTTGACTGGTAGCCTTTACCAGCTGTCTGTAATCTGTGTGGGGCAGACTGTGGGGCAGCTGCGTCCGGGGTTTGTTTTGCAAACGATGCGGAATTTGCAGACTCATTCACGTTGTCCATTTGGTTTAATTCGGAAGGACAGTCGCTGAATGTCGGTGCCGCTGTGCTATGTGTAAGGTTAGGCCGTGTCAGGTTCATTGAGGAACCACCTTTATGTTTTCCTGTATGTCGACGAGCACCAACTTCCCGGATAGAAATGTCCCCGAACGAGCTGTTAGGAAGGTTTTTTTTGTTTTGTTTTAAAGGCCTTTGGAAATACCACACCGCATACCTTGTTCACTTATCCACGCGTCTTTACTCTAGCTGTGCTTTTACATATATTTACCGGGCAGGTTTTTTCTGACGGGTTGACACATACTTAATGAACTGTGGGTGTGAAACAAGAGGTATTACGACATAGTCTTAAACCGAGAACCACCGGCCAGCAGCCCAATAATGGTAATATCTGCACTACCGAGGGGACATTTTGGTGGCCCTGTTGTCATAATCCAGCTGGCTAGGATAAAGTGCATTAGACTGGTGCATTTGTGGGATTTTTTAAGCTGCTATGTGTGGTTTTTTTTAAAAAAAATACATATTTTGAGTGTCTGCCCCATCCAGCATATAACATACTCAGTTTGCTGATGTGTGTTTATGTTGAAGAGTTAGTCACTGCACACGGCTAACGCTGCCTATTTTGGATTGTTGTGACTTCCTTTTTAAACCACCTCAGCAGTCAAAGAGGATGTTAGCTCAGCATGTTACTGACTAATAAGGCTTTTTTTTTAGATGTGATTTTAGGAGCATTGAGCGAAGCCTGAGAAAAAAAAAACTGCCCTGTGTCAAGGTTGAACTGAGAAATCAAGAGGAAGTGAGAAGAGTCTCAACCACAGCCATATATGTCACCAGCACATTTACAGAGCTGATACATCTATCTATGCTGCTTTGTCAGAGAGCCCTGTGAAATCGGACTGTCTAAACCACATAGCTGCAAAATAACATGAAATACAAGTGTTGTCTTTCATTTAATTAAACCGGTTCTATGAGATAAAGCAGCCGCTGATTTAAAGTACATTTCCCTCACCTGTTGCTCTTCTAATCTTTATCCAAGTTTCTGTATAGGGGCCGGGCAGTAGTGAGCTGTGTGCTCTGATTCTAAAAGTTGACTTTAATTAGCCAAACACTGCTTGGTGGATCATCTCTGATTTTACCCATTGACACTGACAGTTTGGGGGAAAAAGTCTTTAGTCAGAATCTCATTTGAAGTTGTGACACTAATAGTACAAATGCAGAAGAATCTAACATGCATACGTATATGCACATGCGTGATATCATTATTTTAATCTGAGACAAGAATATCCTCACACTGATACAGTTTAGATGCTATCTTTTTAAGGTCTTGTCTTTCAGTTCAGTGATTCCCTTCTTTGAGCTCATGCAACTGTTGTAGAGTCTCTGCCGCAGCGGCCATGGGTTCGACTCCGACCTGTGGCCCCCCTGCGTGTCATCCCCTTACCCCCCCCGCCCCCCCTTCTTGTCACTCTTCAGTTGTCACTATCAATTCAAGGCAATAAAAGCCCCAAAAAAGAGATTTGAACATTTTGAACAAGATTTGAGGTATTGATAAATTCACCAAAAATAAAGTTAACCATTTTAATGACTGTAATAAGATGAAATGAACCAAAATTCTGTTTGTTTTTATTGTTAAAAACTGTAAAACATAAAGTACACGTTCTGCCATTGTTCTGGAGGCTAAAGCAGGGCTGACCACAGATGTTCATACTCATTCACACACACACAAATGGAGGTTCTGGGATTGTAGCGTTGGTGGTTACATTTTTATCTCCGTCTGAATGCTAATTAAGCCTGCTGTGTTCAGCAGGATGACAGTGACTTCGTCTCGCTGCGCTGCACAGTTTATCTCATCAGTACTTAAATGCATATCCTCATCACTTCCTCTGTGCTTGGGTTGTCTCGTCTCTCTTTTTCTAGTTTGTCAAGTGCGGCTATGCAGGCTCCAACTTCCCAGAGCACATCTTCCCTGCGCTTGTTGGGAGGCCCATCATTCGCTCGACAGCCAAAGTCGGAAACATTGAGATCAAGGTAAGAACTGGTCCGCCTGATGTTCTTAACAACGATTGTTTCATTTGACCAGAAAGTCTTTAGATGAGGGACGAACCTGGTCAGGAAACCAGTGATAAGACAAAAACAGAATCTGTAAACAAGAGTGAAAAAGCCAGATAGGTAGTTCCAAAGTTGATTTCTAATATAAGCAGACAACATCAAAGCCACAGAGAAAGATCTGATTTTGTAGCTCTGATAAGAGTTATCAGTCCATTGAGAAATCAATCCTCTAATCACACTTT